ACTACATGAGATCTTAATCGATGAAAAAATTAAAATTCAACACCTACGCACAATTAAAAAAAAAAAAAAAACTTAGTAAACTAAAGCTATAAAAGTCACATTTATTGATGAAACATTCAAAGTATTCCAACTGCAGGCGCCTGGGTGGCTCAGTCCATTAAGCATCCGATTTCAACTCAGGTCATGATCTCACCGCTTGTGAGTTCAAGCCCCTCGTTGGGCTCTGTGCTGACAGCTCAGAGCCTGGAGCCTGCTTCAGATTCTGTGTCTCCCTTTCTCTCTGCCCCTCCCCCGTTCATGCTCAGTCTCTCTCTGTCTCAAAAATAAATAAACGTTAAAAAAATTTTTTAAACAAAACAAGGGGAGAAGAATTAGGAATAAATCTAACAAAATCTGTGCAAGTTTTTTTTTTTTTTTTTTTTTTTTTTGAGAGAGAGAGCAGGGGTGGTGGTGAGGAGGAGAGAGAGAATCCTAAGCAGACTCCATGCCTGATGTGGGGCTCAATCTCACAACCATGAGATCATGACCTGAGCTGAAATCAACAGTCGGATGCTTAACAGACTGAGCCACGCGCGTGCCCTGTGCAGGATTCTTATGCAAAACATTCTGAAACCTCATTGAAAGATTAGAAAAGACCCAAATAAATAGAAAGACAAACCATGTTTACAGACAATTGCACTAGACCATGTACAGAATGCAAATCCTCCCCCAGACTGGTTTACAAATTCACTGCTATCCCTATCAGAATTCCAGCAGGTGTCTCAGTGGAGCTTGGTATGCTAATCTTAAAATGTGTTTAGAATTGCAAAGGGTCCAGCATGGATGAGACTTTTTCTAAGGAAGAACAGGGTGGAGTGGTGACCCCGTACCAAGAATTATGAAAGCTATGATGTATTTATATACAGTGAGTATAAGATGAGATCCATAGGCCAGTGGTTGACCCATGCAAAAGCCAGGGACCAACCCATGCACATCGGGAAACTTGACAAATGACAGAGGTAGCTTTGCAAACCGGCGCGGAAAGGATGGATTATGTGACAAATGGGCTGGGGCAATGGCGTGCACGTTTCGAAAAAATACAGTTCATTCCCTATGTCACACCATATAAAAAAACACAAATTCCCGGGTGCCTGGCTGGCTTAGTTGCTTAAGCATCAGACTCTTGATACAGGCTCAGGTCATGATCTTACGGTTGTGAGACTGAGCCTCATGGCACACCCCGCCTGGGGATCCTCGCTGAGCAAGGAACTGAGAACCTGCTTGGGATTCTCTCTCTCCCTGTCTCTCTGTCCCTCTCCCGTGCTCTCTCTCTCTCTCTCTCTCTCTTTCTGTCTCTCAAAATAAATAAGTAAACATTAAAAAAAAAAATCCACGTGGACTAAAGACCTGAATGTGAAAAGCAAACCTTTACAACTTTTAGAAGAAAATATAGGAGGCTACTTTTATGAATTGAGAGTAGGAAGAATTTCTTAAACAATTTCTTTTAAAAGCACAAACCATAAAGTTATACTGCTAAGTTTGACTAGATTAGAATTAAAGCTTCTGTTCCACAAAAGACAACATAACTACTGTGAAATAAGCCAAAAACCGCAAAAGGAGAGTTCCAAAGCATACAATTTACAGAGGATTAGTGCCCAGAATATGTAAAGAATCCTACAAATCAATTTGAGACAAAATGCCCCGTTATAAATTGGTCAACGTATATGCACAGATAATTTTCAGAAGAAGGAATCTAAATATTTAAGTTTGAACATTTAAAAATAAGTTCAACTTCTCGGGCACCAGGGTGGCTCAGTCAGTTAAGCATCTGGCTTCGGCTCAGGTCATGATCTCACAGTTCTTGGGTTCAAGCCCTGTGTCAGGCCCTGCGCTGAGAGCTCAGAGCCTAGAGCCTGCTTCAGATTCTGTGTCTCCCCCTCTCTCTGACCCTCCCCTGCTTGTGCTCTCTCTCTCTCTCAAGAATAAATAAATAAACATTAAAAAAAGTAAGTTAACTTCACCAGTTATCAGGGAAATGTAAGATAAATCAACAATGAGATACCATTCCACGCTTATCAGATTTACAAAAATTCAAAATTATGGTATTATCATGAGTTGAGGAGGATGTGGAATAATGGGGAATAAAAGAAAAAAGAAAACACAATGGGAATACATGTCCATCAAAGATAGAACAAGTTGTGGAAAATTGATTCAACAGAATATTATGCATTTATTAAGATGAATGAACGAAAGCCAAATGTTTCTTATGGATAAATCTCAGAAATACGTGAGGGGCGCCTGGTTGGCTCAGTCAGAAGAGCATGCGACTGTTGATCTCAGGGTCATGAGTTTGAGCCCCAGGTTGGGTGTAGAGATTAAATAAACAAACTTGTTTAAAAAACTGTGAGCCCAGAGAAAAAAGTTTGAAGAATGCTACATGCCAAGTCACATCATTTATAGAAAACTTTTTAAAAAGGCAAAGCATTACTTTCCGCTGTTCAAGGTTGTAGACAGGTGTAAAGAGTATAAAAACACCACTGAGAATGTAAAACACCAAATGTATTAAGTAGCTTACCTCTAAGGAGGGTAGAGGAACAAGCACAGAGAAGAGATACAGGCAGGCACTTGCAACTTTGTCATATTTTATTGTGTTAAAAAAAATATCTGAAGCAAATATAGCAGCTTTTTATAAAGCTGGTTGAGGTATCCAAGGTTGCTCTCCATACTCTTCTGAATGTTTGAAGATAATGGCCAGGAGTTCCAGGGAGATGTTTTCGTTGGAGGGGACACCGAAATGTAAAGCGTGTACTTTGCTCTACGCTCTGCTCTCTCCCTGCACTTAGAAGAGTGCCTGGTGGGGTGCCTGGGTGGCTCAGTCGGTTAAGCGTCCGACTTCGGCCCGGGTCACGATCTCGCGGTCCCTGAGTTCGAGCCCCGCGTCAGGCTCTGGACTGATGGCTCAGAGCCTGGAGCCTGATTCTGATTCTGTCTCCCTCTCTCTCTGCCCCTCCCCCATTCATGCTCTGTCTCTCTCTGTCTCAAAAATAAATAAACGTTAAAACAAAAATTTTTTTTAAAAAAAGAAGAGTGCCTGGTACAGAGGAGGTACTCCACAAATAGCTGCTGAATGAATGAACATATGCAAAGGCCCTGAGGCATGTTAGTACACTGTGTGTTCTGAAAGAGCTAATCATAAGGATAGCCAACTTCTGTTGAGCTCCATACGCACCAGTCACCGGCTTTACTATTTGGTTAGGTCATTTCATCCTTGCCACAATGGTATGGGCCATTATTATCCTCACTCCCCAGGTGAAGAAACAGAGGCTTTGAGAGCTAGGTAGCTTGCCCAAGAACACAGTGGTTAGGACTAGAGTTCACATTCCATCAAAAAGTCTGGGTTTCATGATTTGGATAAGTTTCAGTTTTTGGAGCAGTCGAAATAAATAAGACAAGGTTGGGCCAAGAAGCCTACAGTGCAGGGGTCATATTAATACACACATGCCCTAGAGGGAAGGGTGAGCCAGGCCGGACAGAGGTGCTGAGGGTGCTTAGTGCACGGTAGTCCGGGAGGAGAGTACACGACACAACAGGGAACACTTGAGTCTGCCTGGGCAGTCATGGAAGGCTTTACCAGTTGAACTTGGTCTTGAAGGAGAAGTCTGCCTACCAACGCCAGCCCTTCCGGCTCCACAACGGTTGGTGTTCAGAGGACCTACTGCTCGGGACTGTGAGCACAGAGCCCGACTACCCAGGGCCAAGACCAACCAAGGGGAAGACAAAGTGATTGAATGTAATCTCCCATCTGAGAAAGTTTGCTCTCACCTTTAAATGCACAGAGAAGAAACCAGCTCATAGCTTTTCTTTAGCGATCATGACAGCAGTAATAATTGCTTGCTCTTTAATAATAAGAGCTAACATTTATTGAGCATTGACTGTATGCGGGGCACTGGGCAAAGTCAGCACACGCTTTATTGCCCTTAACTCTCACAACAACTCTGTGAGGCAGGCACTATTTATCCCTTGCCAGGCAGCAGGACACCGGAGGCTTAGGGAGTTTAGGTGTCTTGCCCAAAGCCCTGTGCAGTTGGTGGGGGTGGGATTTGACACCACGATTGTCCAGTGTCCGGCCCATGTTTAAACCACTGCTTCTCAAGAGCACAGACATCCAATTAAAGCAATAAGAGCTTTATGGCCCTCAGTTGGAAGACTAATTGAGAACGTGATGCCACCATAATAAACTAGAAACCAAGCTTATCATTAAAATTCATGAACAGTTGTCACATGTTAGGTGTTCCATAAATGCTTGTGAAATGAGGTAGCATTTAGTGCCAGGAAATGGAAACCAACCCAGTGTCACAATGACACGCTTCACCCATGCAGGAAGGAAGGAGAAACAGAGAAGGCAAACAGGCGGGCAGAGCAGTGGTCGCCGGGTGCGGACAGGGCCTCCGAGGATCCAGGGCCCCTACTCCCTGGGCACTTAGACCTCTGGGGAGCTGCTCCTCCTCGCGCAAGCAGAGGGTTGCAGAGGGTCCCTCTGCTCCAGTCCCCTCCTCCTGCGGGTTTCTCCTGCTGCCCCTCACTTAGCCCGCACCACTGACCCTCGTGGCTTCTCTCCCTGGGGGCCGAGCTCCTGGTGGGAAGGCTTTGTGTTGTCTCCCGCCTATCACAGAGGAGGCCTCCTCCGAAAATAAACGCTGAACGAAGGAAACCCAGCGCTCCCCCAAACAGTGCACGGGTCTGAGACACACAACGTGAGAAAAAGACAGGACGAAGGAAAGAACTGCAAGAGTTCTGCTTTTCAAAAGTAGCTTAGGAGAACAATCCATCCTGTAAGGCAGACAAGGATGCCTGCTGAGGGGAGGGACGGAGGAGGGAGACGGGGAGGTGGGATTGAGGAAAGAGGGGGGAAGAAGGAAGGGAGGAGGGGAGGAGGGGAGGGAGAGCGGAGAGGAAGACAGCAGCAGCCCGTCCGGATTCTCCCCGGAGCCACCTCTGACAGTACTCTGGCCACGTTTTAATTAGCGGCGAGGTTGTCCCATTGACTCAAACAAAAGCTCGCTCGCTCGCTCTCTGATTAATTTTCGAAAGAGCCCGCCGAGTTTAATCATAGCAAACACGATGACCCCCGTTATTACGGCCTGAGCAGCCAAAAGCAGGAAGTAAAGACCCCAGAACAGGCTGTGGTCTTGGCGACTGCCGTCGGCCACGAGCTGCGCCGGGGCCCGGGGTTCCGAGCTGTCGGGCACCGAGGCCGTGTGGCCCGGGGCCGCGGGGGCTGCGGCGGAGCGGGGAGGCGGGCCGCGGGCGCCCCGGCACTCGGGGTCGTCGTCGGGCAGGGCCCAGAGCGGCAGGCCGGCGCGGGGTCCGGGGCCGCGGCACCGCGGGGGCTCGGCTCGGCCCACGAGGCCCGGGTGCCGCCGCAGCCACGCCAGGAACGGCCCCAGGTCGCAGTCGCAGCGCCAGGGATTGTGCCCCAGCAGGACCTCCGCCAGCCGGGGCAGATCCGCGAACACGTCTCCGGGCAGGGTCTCCAGCAGGTTGTGCTCGAGCCGGACTCCCTCCAGGCTGCCGAGGTTGCGGAAGAGCGCGCGGGGCAGGGCCCGCAGCCGGTTGTGGCTCAGCGACACGCGGCGCAGCCCGCCGAGGCCGCGCAGCAAGCCGCCGGGGAGCGCGGCCAGGCTGTTGGAGTGCAGGGCGAGTACCTGGAGCTCGCCCAGGCCCCGGAAGGCGTCCTCGGGGAGCGCGCTCAGACGCGGGCTCAGGGTCGCCCCGAACGCCCGCAGGCGGCTCAGGTTGCGGAAGGCGGCGGCCGGCAGGGTGCGCAGCCGCGTGCAGTTCAGCCACAGCTCCTGCAGGCCGGCCAGCTCCCCGAAGAGCACCTCCGGGAGCTCCTCCAGCGGGTTCTCGAACAGGGTCAGGAAAGTCAAATTGTGCGAATAAAGGAAGAGGGCCGGGGGCAGGAACTCCAGGCGGTTTCTGGAAAGCGTCAAGGAGCTCAGGCTCCGGAGCCGGTCGAAGGCCCCCGGTGCGATGGAGCGGATGCGGTTTCTGTCCAGCTGCAGCTCCACCAGGGCACGCAGGCTACTCAACAGCCCCGAATCCAAAGAGACGAGCTGGTTCGAGTGCAGCACGAGTTTCTCCAGCTTAGCCTGTGCGCCAAACAATCCCCGGGGCAGGTGGGTCAAATTATTTCTCGATAAATCCAACACTTTCAAGTTCCCCAGGTTTGTGAAGAGGCGAGCGGGAAGGAAAGCGAGTTGATTTTGGTTCAAAAAGAGCTCCTGCAAGTTAACCAGTTTCTGAAACATGTTTTGGTCAATGTCCTTTAGTTCGTTGCGGTCCAGAAACAACTGTTCCAGGAGCACCGTCTTATCCAACAGCGCACCTGGAAGATGAGTGATCTTGTTGCGCGACAGCCTCAGGGTTTTAAGTTTTATCAGGTCGTCCAAGGTGCCGGGGGCAATGGCGGAAATGTGGCTGTCCGACAGCATCAGGCGCTGCAGGACGGTCATGCCACTGAAGCTGTGATTCTGTAAGGTGCCGCGGCCCATTTGGAAGAGCAGGATGTGCGTGAGGTTGACGGGCAGGCCGAGCTCGGCGACGCGCGCTACGCTGCTCCCGGTGCACTGCGCGGCGTCCCGGAACACACACTTGCAGGCGGGGGGACAGGGGAGAGGCTGGGCGCGCAGGAGCCCCAGCGCCGCGCACAGCAGGGCGCTTCTCAGCATGTCTGCAAGGGCCGCAGCGGGAGGTCTGGAGGCGACACACAAAACGCTCACATTGGATCTTGCAACCCTGCGGAGGCAAGAGCCTTCCACCAGGATTATCACTGGCTTTAAGAGTTACCCAGATACAACTAAGTATCCCTCTTTTAGAAATGCAGATTTTCCTGGGGCGGGGTGGGGGGGGGGATGGGGGATGGGGGAGGAGGTGGTGAAAAGACTTTCATTCTACACTGCGAGGTCTCATCCTTTTCTACCGATTTTCTACTCTCAGTTTAAAGCTTTAAAGCGTTTTCAAAGCCAATACTTTAAAATCCTTACATAGAACTGATGAAAATAATTATTCTCACATTCAAGAATGTCTCACATGCATCACTGAGCAGTGCCCACGGTGAAGAGAGCCCTGATCTTCTCGCCTTTACCCAGGGGTGGCTATAACCAGCAGTCGTGAAGGGAACGGCAAAGTCTGTAAAAAACAACAGCAACCACCACCTGATTCCTTTTACCACACTCATGCTGTATGCACGGTACTTATTCTACAAAAACAATAACACCCTCGAATAGCGAACACCTCTATTTAGCCACAGTGAGAAAAACAGGTAATATCTATCACGTTATGCCATACATGGTTCTCAGCACTTGATTTGCATTAATTCATTCACTCCTTATGCTAACCCTATGAGGTAGCTATTATTCTTAACCCCAGCTAAAGGATGATGAAAACTAAGACACAGAAAGGGTACGTAACTTACCCAGGGTCATAGAGCTAGAATTGTTGACAGGGAGCTATCATTCCTAAGATGCTTAACAAAAAATTAATACCAACTTGTGGCATTGAAGTACATGTGAAATATGCACAGTAATACTAATCTGCCAAAACAATGTTTCCCAAGTGGAATTGTACACAAATCATTTCTTGTACTAAATTTCATATATCTTAGCACATATAGACTAACCAAGCCCTCCAGTTGCCCATCCCTAATTTTTAAAGTATTTGGCCTTACCTGAAATGGTGCTGCACCCCAAAGCAACTGAAAGGCTTAGGGCTTTGCCTGTGATTCAACACTTTCCAAAGGAAGAGGGAAGTATCCTTGCATCCTGAGGATAAAGACTTTACCAGAATAAAAGTCATGGAAAGGACTTTATCTCAGAGGGCATATTCTGGTTTTTAATGACAGATATCTTCAAACGGAAGAGACCATTTGTAACCTGAGTCTTACTGTCAAAGGAATGATAAGAGCAGGAGAGAAGTTTCTCCATAAAATAGCACATTATGACTCTGTGATGCTAGGAAAGTTTAGTGACATGGTGGGCTCATTGTGGCAGCCATACCCCAAATGGACCACACTTCGAGTCTTCCTTTTCTTGCCATGTTGTCCCAATTCTTTTTTTTTTTTTTTTTTAATTTTATCATTACTTTTATTTTTGAGAGAGACAGAGTGAGAGCAGAGAGGGTCAGAGAGAGGGAGACACAGAATCTGAAGCAGGCTCCAGGCTCCGAGCTGTCAGCACAGAGCCCGACGCGGGCCTTGAACTCACAAACTGTGAGATCATGACCTGAGCCGAAGTCGGACGCTTAACCGACTGAGCCACCCAGGTGCCCCCCCCAATTCTTTATTACAGTTCTTCTCTTCCCCATTTAGGAATAATAAAGCAAAGAACATTCTCCAATGCTCCACTCATTTTCTTCTTCTTCTTAGAAATAATAAGGCTAAAAACATTCTAGAATATGTTAAAAAATGGCATTACTGAGTTGAAGGGTGTTCACATGTTCAATTTAATTTAGGAATGTCCAACTGCATTTCAAAGTAGTTGTACCAATATATGATGCCTAGTGTGTGGCAGTTCCTGTGCTTCATACCTACCTCTGCCCATACCTGGAATTGATTTTTTAAATTTAATTTTTACCATTCATAGGAAGTAATTGTCTCCGGGTGGTTTTTTTCATTTCCCCCATTTAATGATGAACTTGGGCATCTTTTCATATTTTTTTAAAGTTTATTTACTTTTGAGAGAGAGAGAGAGAGAGAGACAGAGACAGAACAGGGGAGGGACAGAGAGGGAGAGAGAGGGAATCCCAAGCAGGCTTCCCACTGTCAGCACAGAGCCTGACACTGGGCTGGATCCCACAAACCATGGGATCATGACCTGAGCAGAGACTGAGAGTCATGCATGTAACCCACTGAGCCACCCAGGTGTCCCATCTTTTCATATTTTTAATGCTCACTTGTGCTTCATCTTCTAAAAAATTTGGGTGCTTTTCTTTTGCCCATTTTCCTATATGCAAATATGTATGTTTAAGTCTTTCAGAAAACTGAACTGTAGGCATTCTTTATATATTCTGGATACTAATCCTTTGTCAGTTATAGATGTCAATTATCTTCAATTAGTTGGTAGTTTGCTTTTTCATCTTCTTCATGATGTCTTTTTATGGATGTTGTCTTTTTTTTTTTTAATTTGATGTTTATTTTTGAGAGAGCGCGCAAGCGCATGATTGGGGGGGAGGGGCAGAGAGAGAGGGAGTCACAGAATCCAAAGCAGGCTCCAGGCTCCGAGCTGTCAGCACAGACCCTGATGTGGGGCTTGAACTCACAGACCATGAGATCATGACCTGAGCCAAAGTCAGATGCTTAACCAACTGAGCCACCCAGGTGCCCGGGATATTAAGTCTTAATATAGCCAAAGTTATCAATCTTTTATGATTTTTTTGTATTGAAATAAATCCTCCACTCCTCCTCCCCCCATAAAATCTCCTATAATGCCTGAGTTTTATAGTTTTGTCTTTTGTTTTTAGATCCTTAACCCATTTAGAATTCATTTTTGTGTATGATGTGTGAGTTGAGTCCATTTTTCCCCCCCACGAAGATAATCTGCTGGTCTAGCCCCATTTACATATAATTAAATCAATTCCTTCTGCCATTAGAACAACAATGTTACCACAGTCACGAACCAACCATCTCATGAATGTGTGGGTCTGCTTCTGGGCTATTTAATAACCCCTGTACCAATACCATACTGAAATAACCTTTTTATGTTTAAAAACTGCAAATATCTAGCACTTTATGAAGTATGAAGAAACACACATTCTCATACTACAGTGGTAGAACTATAAATTGGAGCAAACTTTTGGGGGAAAATTTAGCGGTATCAACCAATTACAAATATACATATACATCCTCTGTCCAGCAGTTCTGCTAAAAATACACCGTGTCTATGCTCATTAAGATTTGTACACAAAATGGGGCACCTATGGGCTTAGTCAGTAGAGTATGCAACTCTTGATCTCAGGGTCATGAGTTCAAGCCCCACATTGGGTGTGGAGCCTACTTAAAAAAAAAACTGTGCACAAAAACACTGCAGGGTTGTTTGTAACAGAAAAAGAAAATTAAATGACCATCAACAGGGAAGTAGTCATCTAAATTATGAAAATACCCATGCAATGGAATGCCATGTGGACTTTGAAAAAATCGGAGCTGCAAGTGTTGATGTCTAACAGAATGATGTATAACAAGGGCAACATAGTATATATACATGATTTGTATAGATTTTAAATCAGCATAAGACTTCGTGTCAAATTCTGGTAGGCTTCTGTGGCCTACTTCCCCAGGAAGCACTCCAATCAGAATGACCTCCAAGTGTTAATTCTTTGAAGAGAGCAGGACACTCGAATGCCCAAGAAGGGTATGGAAGTTGCAGACGGTAGAGGAAAATTGTGAGTCCATTCGTTGAAAATCTGGATGGGATATTGAGAAGTATTTTTTTTAATATTTATTTTGGGAGAGCGCAGGCGGGGGAGGGGACAGAGGATCTGAAGCAGGCTCTGCGACAATAGGCTGACAACAGAGATCCCCCAAGGCGTGAGATCATGACCTGAGCTGAAGTCAGACGCTCGACTGAGCCACCCAGATGCCCCGAGAAGTTATTTTGAACAACGAAATGAAGTTGATGGCTCCAGTGTTTTGCGTCCTTCGTATTTTGGATTCACGGAACAGGTTAGAAATCTGCTGTCCTAAGAGGCAACTCCTGTATAAAAGTCACCCTGGCCTGTAAGATTTGGCCTTTCTGTCTGCCTGGATGAGATAGGCTTTTCTCCTCGGTGGATGGTGACTCAGAGACCAGGGCACTCTGAACGCTGACAGTCTCATCCAGACTCCTACAACTCCCTCCTTCCCTGCAATACATACTCAAAATATGGCAACTGGAAGCAGCACACAGGGAAGACAGAGACATGCAGGACGGTGGTGCCCACACACACAGGCTGTGGGGACATGGCATTTGCTACACAACCATAGTGAATGGAAAGAATGTGGACTCAAACTAAACCTTCACACCATCCATTTAATCCATCACACCGCAGCCAGCCACACGGGCCACAGCAGAGGACGCACATCTCCTGTAGGACCCATGACGTCCAGAGAGACCTCCTGGCCCAGCACAAACCCTGCCTTCTCTGGGGTTTCTAGCACCAAGTAATTAATTCCACAGTTTCTCTCTCCCTGGAATGCTCTTTTTGCACCCACAGCTGCCATTTCGCTTCAAACTTACCATGTTTTACGTAGCATTAGCTCTGGGTTTGATCTTCCCAACTGTTAATAGATTATAAGCCTCCAGGCTTGTATTTCACTATTTCCCTCAGACCTTCTTACGCTGTTAACATTTGATTCTACATTGTATCTGACAGATGGGTTTCCACAGGATGGTCACACACACAATGTGATAAATATGTGGGATGTGGTATTTATTCCCTTCAAAAATCCAAAGTTAAAAAAAAAGGGGGGGG